GATTTTTGCTCTGTTTATTTCTCTATGCATCTTATTTTTAATTTTTATTTATCTTATTTTTTGGCCTCACTGCACAGCTTGTGGGATCTTAGTTCCCCAACCAGGGATCGAACCCAAAACCCCTGAAGTAGAAGCACAGAGTCCTAAACACTGGACCCTCAGGGAGTTCGTTTTGCATTGTTTTAAACATTTATTTTCTCTGTTAAGTTTTTAAAGACTAACTTTGTTGGGATATAATCCATGTATCCTACAACTGACCCCTTTAAAGTATACAAGTCAAAGGTTTCTAGCACAGTCACAGTTGTGTAACCATCGCTACAACCAATGTTGGAACCATTTCCATACCCCAAGAGGAGAGCATGCATGAATTAACATCCATTTCCCAACCCTCCCAGCAACAGGCAGCCACCAGGCAACTTACTGTGTCCATAGATTTGCCCACTCTGGATGCTTCATACAAGTGGAATCAAGGATAAAGCAAAAGTGAAAGTCGCTAGTTGTGTCCGACTCTTTGAGACCCCTTGAACTATACAGTCCATGGAATTCCCCAGGCCAGAATACTGGAGTGGGTAGCCTTTCCCTTCTCCAGGGGATCTTCCCAACCCAGGGATCGAACCCAGATCTTCCACATTGCAGGCGGATTCTTTACCAGCTGAGCCAGCAGGGAAGCCCAAGAATACTGGAGTGGGTAGCCTTTCCCTTCTCCAGCGGATCTTCCCAACCCAGGGATCGAACCCAGGTCTCCACATTGCAGGTGGATTCTTTACCAGCTGAGCCACAAGGGAAGCACANGGAATTGAACCCAAACCCCCTGCACAGAGTCCTAACAACTGGACCACCAGGGAAATCCTTCTTTGCTCATTATTTAACGGTGCTACTTGGGGTTATTTGTCTTTGTATTATTGAGTTGTAGAAGTTCTTTAAATATTTTAGACACAAGTCCCTTACGGATATTTGATTTATAAAAATAGCCCGTTGTGTGGACGTTCTACCTTTTTGTTTTCCCTTGAGGATCATGAATTCACGGAATTGCTCCCACATTTCCATTGTCTAGAGTCCGTACTTTCGATCCTCAGACCGTCCTGGGTTTAGCCAGGGGGAGCCCCTCCAAGCATGGCTTCCTGTTCCATCAGTGTGCTCACAAAGGTAGAATTTCGGGTCAGTGTCAGCAGGAAAGAAGAGAGGACTCTCCAGGCTCCAGACGACCCCCGAGCCCGCCTCCGCGCCTGGGACCACTCTGCTTGCAGCACACAGGGGTCTGAGCAGGTGGGCGGCCCCCCACCCGCTATGTCTGTGGGGCAGGAGGGAGCCACCGTTTCTGCAGGTCTGGCTTCCCCCAGCCTGGTTTCAGCACACACAGAGCTGAATGACCCTGCAGGAGAGGCAGAGATGTGGACCCAGCCAGCTCCAACACCTCCGACCTCCCTCCAAGGACACACATGCACACAGACACCCTCTCTCCCTGGCAGGCTGTAGTCTGTGCGGTCGCAGAGTCGGACACGACTGAGCGACTGAACAACCTCTCGACCCTTGTCCTTCTGGAGAGTAGATAAAACTCAGAGGATTAAAAGGTGGTGCGAGGTACCACCTCTCCTGAAAAAGAAAAACCAAACAAGCAACCCAAGAGCAAAAGACAGGTGGGTGGGCAGGATCCCAGGCCCAAGCTGTCCGAAGGGGGACGCAAGAAAGAAGTGGACCTGATGTCCTAAGGGGACGCGGGGGAGCAGAATCGGCTGGGGGCAGTGTGGGTCTTCCCACAGACATCACTGCTTTTCATTCTCACAGAAACTCTACAACATGCATGATGTGATATTTGCTTCTACTTTATAGGCTGAAGAATTGAGGCCTGAGGGGTTCGAGGGACCTGCCACATGTAGGCGGCTAAAGAGCCGGTGGGAGGTCAGCCTGAAAAGTCTGAGCTCCTCCCTCACCCTGGCTGGAGGGGCTGGAGGCAGGAACCCGGGCCCTGAGCCCCGCCCGAGAGGGACAGCCTGTGAGAGCGCCTTTCCAAAGGGCCCCGTGGGGACGGGATCTGGGGGCTGCTATGCAGAATAAGCATGTTTAATGATCCCATCATTCCCAGGACCTTTGTAAAGACTCGGAAGAGCGACGTTAGAGAATAACCTTGTCTGATTCAAGTAAGTTTTCGAATACATTTGACCTAGAAAACTGCCCTCACCATTTTCCCCCTGAAACTCTGGACGACACAGGGCTGGGGAGGCTGGCTGTGCTCAGCTGTGTGAAGCCTGTTTCTCCCGTGACCAGCAGCCGCCACTCTGGGTGACGGCCAGGCACCCCCGGGGGTGGGGGACTCAGCCCCCTCACCGTTCAGGGGCCGGGCTACACCCCTTGATGCTGGAGCCTGAAAGGGCGCACATTTCAACCGGAAAGGCCAGGCGGTGACGGTTCTATCTTGTTTATTCCTTTGCCATTGATTCACTAGCAAATTACTGAACTGCTAGGCAGAGTGAAGACCCCTTGCTGTGAAAGACTCCGGGATTTCTCTGAGGTGAGTAGTACCGAGTAACCTAGGAAGAACAGCCGGAACCTGGGAAGAATCCGAAAGGATTCCCCAAGCCCCAGGGGCAGTGCTGCGGATTCATCACAGGTGGGAGGGCAGGGGCTGGCTCGGCTAAGATATTTTATCTTCGGATTCGAAAACTTTGGCTTTTGAATTTAAGTGTCAGGGTCCTCTCTGAACTCCAGGATTCTCGGGTTTACTCATTTACCACGTTCTTTAAATTATTATACTAAGCTAACCAAACTGACCTGTGCCTGCCTGACCGGAACCAAAGAAAGGCATATTTTATTTGGCCAAAATAAAAAAATGGGCAACAGGACAAAAACACTTTAAAAGTTTTTATTTTACTGAAGGATAGTTGATTTACAATGTCAATTTCCACCGTACAGCAAAGTGACTTAGTTATATGTATATCCACATGCTTTTTCATATTCTTTTCCATTATGGTTTATCACAGACTATCGAAAAGCTCCCTGTGCTATATGATGGGACTCTGTTGTTTATTATTTATAACACTTTTATCATCCACTAAGTACTTCAGAAGTTGCCTCTTTCATCATAACAACCAAAGAACAGATGATAAGATTACTAACCTATGGAGTTGTGTGTTAGCTTGTAATTAGATCTACTGTTCACTTTTTTTTTTCTGTTTTGATAGTTAGGTAAGAAACTGCAGCTTGTTTATCTCACATGGAAGCTCTTCTACTATACAAAGCACCTCAGAGCCACATGCCTTGAAACCCTCCAGTGGGACACACAGACAGGGGACTGCCCCCCACCCACCACACGACAAACACTGACTCTACACGTGGTGTGTGGAAAGAAGCCGGCACAGCGCTGGCAACCTCGGGCTTCAGCACTCTCGGGGCTCGGCGGTGACTGCCTGTCCTGGACCCGGGGGGGGGGGGGGGCCCGATGCCCACGAGCTGAGAGGGCTTTGCAGTTGCTTCTGCAATCCTGAGCTCCAACGGAGCCAGTGACATTAGCATCTTCACTTCACACCCGCAGTCCATGCAGGGACCTCGGGGGTCGGCCTTTCTGAAGCTTCAGGAAATAGCGTAGCTGGGTTTCTTATCTACTGCTAGGATCTCTTATACATCAGACCATACTGCCAGCTCCATATTTAAAGTAGCAAAGATACTCTTAACATGAAAGAAGTCCTTCTCTTTGTCCCAACATTCGAAATAGTGGACAAAGTATGATGCTTATAGTAAAAGAACTGGGTTCAGATTGCAGGTGAGCTACTTACCAGGACATTTATATATTCTTCAATCCAGCATGGTTTTTCCAGTGGTCATGTATGGATGTGAAAGTTGGACTATAAAGAAAGCTGAGAGCCAAAGAATTGATGCTTTTGAACTGTGGTGTTGGAGAAGACTCTTGAGAGTCCCTTGGACTGCAAGGAGAT